TTTCTTTACAGCAAAAATTATGGTGGCGCATTTCTTTTCTGTGGTATTGTACTTTTTCAGTTTCTGTAAATTTCTTACTGAGGTATGTTACTGGATGTTCATTGCCTCGTTCATCTTTCTGAACTAAAATGATACCCATACCAAAGTCTGAAACATCAATTTGCAAAATAAACTCCTTATTGAAATCAGGTGAGTGTAAGAGGCTTTTGCGGCAGTTTTACTTCTTCAACAACTCACTCTTGTCTGTTTAGTTTCTTAAAAAACTTCTCCTTGACTTGCATCTTAACTGCAGAACTTGGTAATTCATCTAGAATTTTTAACTGAGAATCAGCTAAATTTTTCAGTTCTTTCTTTTCAAATAGTTTTTGCTCGTTGCGAGATGAACTTTTGTTGTTATCTGTTACTTGCATTCTCATTGAATATGGCAATTTTGAGTATCCTTTATCATGTTTATGCTTCTTTGATGTGTGCTTAGATTCTCAATGTATTTTTAATGTCTTAGCTCTAGAAGCACCTTCATGAGTTCTTTTATCAGAAGTTCTTTATCTGCTGTTAACAAACTGTCAAACACATCTTTGCTTTTTGGAGAAGAATGAGCTGGGGAACTTGTAGGGGAATAATCGTACACACTATCCATAGAAGATGAATCACCAAGTGAATAAGGTAAGTCAACTTCCATATCAATAATTTTAGTATTCATACAAGGAGGTGAACATTTAGACTGTCTGTCAGATTTCTGTGAAGCATTGACAAAAACTTGACTATTAGAAAGGTGAGTATTGACCAAATTACCCTGAGTTTTAGAACTATTATTTGTTTGGTTCTGTGTCAAAGATGAATAGTTCTGCATTTGATCCCTTCCATTTTTTATCTATTTTGTTTTTCACAAACAACCCCTTCTCCTTTATGTTGAAATCATTTGTCTTGCTGGAATTTTTATTTTTAGCTTCTCTAAACAATGAGGCTAGATCTCTGCTTTGACACTGAGATTCAATTAATTCCTTAGAATTAGCATTAATCACTTTCTTAATTTCCTTGTCTTCCTCATCAGCTTGCGGTAAAGTATCTTCGTCAGTCTCAATAAATGTCAGTTTTAGTTTCTTCATTTTGGTTTCTCTACTTCAGGAGATATTTTACTTGAGATCATGTCAAAACCGCATTTATTTTTTCTAAATTTAAGAATGATTTATCTTTGAACAATTGGGCAGTTTTGTTATCCAATACATATCTGCCTGGATCATTTGTAACAACAGCTGACCTTTGTCTTTATATGAGAAAGTTCAGAATTAATTTCAACTTCCGCTAACGGTAGACACACTAAATGATCATTTAAAAGACATTGTACCCAGACATATTCTCCAGTCATTTTTGCGTTATCTATGTATTTTCGAGAAATAACATGTACCGTTCCTCCTATGTCTCGAAGAATAAGCATTTCATACCTATTAACTAAACCATTAATTGTGTATGTCTCTAACAAGTCATCATTCGAAGATAAGCAATTTACCCTTTTATTTGGTTTTAAGCGAGGAAACTGAGGCTGAAAATGCTCGCATGACCCACGCTCGAAACGATGTGGTCGATATCTTTTGTTATATAAATTTTCTTGGTTCTTGTTTTGAAACTGACTTCTTTGTTGGTGATCTTTCTGGTATTTTGAATCATCCCATTTATCAGACTGCTTAAAATGAGGTGGATGCTCTATTTTTTTCACAAAATTATCATAACAAGGTTTAAATGATCCTTTGTTAAGTCTCTCAGTTTGATTGGCAGAAAATTTCAATTTTATTGTTTTTTTAACATCTTCAAAATCTTCAATTTTCTTAACTATCTCAGTAGATGAAATGATGGTAGTCCAAAAATGTTCTTTAAAATCAGGAGAAATATGCTTTTTTTAATTGGATCATCTAGCATGAGATCTTTTAGCTATTCAAAAGTTTTGATGTTTAATCTGTTACACCATCCTTCTAAATAATTCTTTAATTCATAGTCGAAATCATACCAAGTACTTTCAGTACATTTTTGGTGTTTATTAAATAGTTGTCAAAATTTTTCTGTACTCAATTTAAACCGTTGTAACAAAAAATTTTTTACACATTCATACTTTTTCGTGTCCTCTTCTGATTCTCTAGCAATAAGCTGAACAGTATCAGGAAGTAGCAATGAAATAAGTTGGGTCACTTGATTTTCAGCAGATATATTCATAATTGTAGCTTGACGCTCAAATAACTCAAAATAAATGAATTTCATCTTCTTTAGGGTTGAAACGTGACATGACATCGTGAATTCTGATTTTTAAAGGCTACTCAGGTAACTGCATAGTTTCTACCGCCTGTGCTCTTGCAGCCATTGCTTCCAGTTCAAGTTCCTGTAGCTCAAAAACTCTAATTTGCACTTCTCTTTTGCGTTCTTTTTTCCTTTTCTTCTCTTTCACATTTGCTTTCTCTTTCACGTTCTTCCTTTCTTTCTCTTTCACGTTCTTCTTTTCTTTCTCTTTCACATTCTTCCTTTCTTTCTTCTCTAATTGAAGCTAGTAGTCCTCGAGTAAACTCCTCATCATAACCGGGACTTTCAGTAATCAATTTATGCAACTGAGCAATCTTAAATTCAGTTCTTATGGTTAAATCTAACTCTTCTGCCAGTAGTTTAAAATCCTGTTTTTTACTCCTAGCTAAGAATGACGTGTTGAAAGAGTTACCTTTAAGGGCTTCCTTTTGAAATTGAATCTAGAAAATCGTACTTGTATTAAAAATATATAATTTAAGCGAGACTTAACTTGTCAAATATGAGACGTTTTAACTCACTATTCACAAGCCTCGTTGGCTATAACTATATGAACCCCTTTGCCTGGCAATGCAATTTAGCTCTAATATGGGATGACATTACTATCTACCACGCTCCTGGATGGTGAGGACTAAGAAAAGACTTTCACCAGTTTGGCAATTCAATAAAATCGCACTACATCAGTTTGACATTACTTCTTATTTTCCACATGCCTGCTTGGCAACAAATTCAAACATTTAGCTGTTCCTTTTTTATATAAATGCCGGAATGGCTTACACATATCAATTGTCAACATAAAAATTCAATTTAAATAACAATAAAGCCTAAATAATAATTTTAAAATACTTTTATACCACAAATATCAATTTTAATTTATGCCTAAAATTTTTAGTATCAGTTATTTTACTCAAAAACTTACACTATTTAAATATAATTCTGAAAGTAAATATTAAATTTCAATAAACCCTTTTTTATGAAAACCAAAAGTTAATCTTATCTTCAGAGATCAGCAGTATCCTGTTCTGACAATTCTTTTCTCAGACGCAAGTTGTAAAAACACAGAAGATAACCTTTAAATGATTCGCTTCAAAAACTGACTTTAAAATGGCAGACTTACGACATCCGTTTCTCCTTGAAATGAACAAACTTCGCAATTGATACTAGCAAACTTGTTCTCAAAATTTCAGCAACCTGGATTAGGAGACCAGCACCATCGAAATTAATAAATGCACTCCTAATCTTCAGTATCTCAGGGAACTTCCAATTTTATAAGACTGTAATGTATTTTGTAGTATTTAACAAAATAACAGATGATCTTCTTAGTAAAACATAAATTTTATTTTTAGTTCACGGAGATAGATAATTTGAATACAGTCTTTTAGTTACATATATTTCATACATCTACTAGCTGGTGAAACTTTCAGAAGAACAATTTTTAACAATTTCTCAAGTTGCTGAGCAACGGTTACATGATACAAATATGGCGTTGCCATTCCAATAATAAATATAGTTATTTGTTAAGTAATAAAATATTACAGCCCATACATTTTACTATCATACTGCCATGTTTATTAGCCATTGGCTAATAAACATGTTATAATTGCTTCTTTGTAATCCTTTATTTCTCAAATTTGTTTAGTTCTAGTACTTGTGAGTGTCATTTCTGAATATATTTTCTTATGTGAACATTAGAATTCATATACATTAACAACTGCCAACTCTTGTTGCCTTTCATCACATCTCCTAATCTCTGTGGTGGATTACCTAATCTCCTAGTTTTTAATTTCTATCATTTAAGATAAAGGTCCTAGCAATTAATAAAACCGAATTTGGGCAAATTCCGTTTTCCTCCCCCTAATAACTTTCAGTATCATTTTTCTTATTAAATTTTATTTGATCAGAATTGTCTTAATCCAGTGTAGACATTTGTGGATTGTCAAAATTCACTCCACCCAACAGTTTGTACATTAATTGTTAACTTTATTTTCATTCTATTAAGTGCTTTGATAAATAAAAGGTTTACTTCCATACTCAGCACTTTCTCAATATAAAAGTGTAAGAAAATTACAAAATGAAATTATGTGAATAAAATAAAGTTTAGAATATATGATTAAATATTAATGTACTTTGGATTAGAATCATATTATAAATAGATTATCTCATGCATTATAAAGTGAGTTTAAGCCAGTTTTAAAATACAGTCACCTGTACAGCATGAAAACCTCTTTTTTTAATGTTTCAAGGTTGACAGCTATGCTATATGCATACATATTGTGAACATATGACTGATAAACTGTTCTAATGTATTCTATTTAATTCTTTATTTCTTAGGTTTGTTTATTTCTAGTATTTTTGTTGACATTTCCGAACATATGTTCTTACGTAAATATAGTTTCTTAATGGTAGACTACTATGTACAGGAATTTTAAAGCATCTTGTCTAAGAGTTAGAACAGTGCAAAGAAATTTTTGCCTTTTCTAATTGATCAAGTTATTAAAAAAAACTCTCACATTTAACTTCTTGAATTTCCTAATTTATTATTTTTTTAAATGCATAAATATATTATTCTTTGCATAAAATACACTTTAATTCATAGTTATAGTATTTCTGTATTTGTTCATATGTATATATTTTTTTTACTGTTTTGTTAATTAATAATTGTATTAGAAGGAATTTTAAAATTGTTATATACTGTAACAGATTTTTGTTTTTTTTAGTAAAAAATACATACGCAGAAACTGAAGAAGCTGAAAATTGCCTATGGATGGTGACAAATTCTAAGCCGTGCCCAAACTGCAAGTGTCCAATCCAGAAAAATGAAGGTTGTAATCATATGAAATGTTACAAGGCAAGGATTTATTTTATTTTATATTTTAATGTTTATATCCAAGCTTGTTTTTCATTTTTGCTTGAAAGAAATCAATAAATCTATTGAAAAATATCTTATGCAGAGTTTCTTCATGAAAACAGATGTTTATATTACATTGCGTACCATTCAGATTATTACTTTGCTAGGAAACTTTTCTTTAAATTATTGTTAAAAGTAAAAACTTTTAAGATTGTTTTCAAGTTTTTGCTTTTTTGAACTCACCGGTAAAGTGGGAGATAAAATATATTAGAGTATCACAGGTAAATGGTTTACAAGCTCTTAACTGATTTTAAGATAATTATGATAGAACTGTTTTCTTTTTAGGGAATTCATTAATTAAAAAAAGTCTTTTATATGTTTATTTTTGTGCATTCTGCTACATTTTACGTATATCTATTTGTTTCTAGTCCATATATTTCATTGTGCTTGAGATTTAATTTTTTGTGATGTACAGAAGATAGCGAAAGAAGTTAAGACTCAGGTGTTAGAAACACTTGTCAGCAGGCACTCAGATTATAAAACCACATCCTGTGTAGAACTCATACGAAAAAGGCGTATCTTTTCTAACCTAACGCGACAAAGTTCGTAATTAAGATAAAAAAATCTCGTGAAAGTGCAATTTTAGAGTCTTCAGATACAGCAGGCATTGAGATAGTTCTTGTATAGATATCCGGCGGTGTAAATGCAAGTATTATCGATATCATAGGCATGCAGTAAGGCATATCTGTTGCTGCCTGCTAGCGTCAGAATGGCGAGAGCTTGTCTGAGTTGAAGGCGTTGTCTCTGGAGGTACTTGAGTGAAGAGGGTGTAGCTACTGGTCGTCTTGGACAATGGTGAATCTGAAAAGGAAGTGCATCCACTTGCAAGACAGGCATTGGTTGGGGAAGGGGTTAAAAGAAATAACATATTGAACAATATTATTGAATGACGTGAGTCTATTTTGAAGTAAAAAAGATCATGGAAGGTAATAAGAGTTACTTCTATTGAATTAAATTAAGATAAAGATTAAGCTGGATGTAATACAAAATAACTGAGTTAATTTAATAGATGACATATTGACAAAATTTATGTGACAGAACTTTCTACCAGATGGCGACATATATTTTTCAGAGTCTAACAGTAATTAGGAAATTACCATATTTGACGGCATATAAGACACACTTTTTTTTCCTAAATTTGGTCTCAAAAAAGTTACCTGCATCTTATACGTGAAAGACACAGGTTAACTTTCAATATTAAACGCTATTAGTTTGGATAAAAGTCTAGACACACATAACTTTTTCTACATCAGCCATAATTATTTTGCGCATGCATGAAATATCTGTCGCCAAAAAAAGCGCTGAAGTCGAAGTTCGAACAGGTTCGACGGTCACATTACGTCTATGGAGCCTTTCCTTCTTTACATAGACTTTCTTTGACTCAGCCGACACACGTGTCAGTATCGGTGCTACTCTGTATAAACGTCTCGGTATCGGTGCTTAAAATTATTTGTTTAAAAAAAAATACCCTGGAAAATATGACTACAGGAAACAAGAGATTAAGCTGTACAATTCAGTTTAAACTAGGAGTGTTAAACTATGCCAAAGTGCATGGAAACAGAGCAGCAGCAAGACTTTTCGGTCCACCACCTATCGAAAAAATGATACGTACTTGATGACTGCAGGAAGATCAACTGAAGACTGCTAAAAAACAAAAAAATATATCCTTCAATGCCCAGCTCCATCTTGGCCTGAACTTGAAAATGCCATAAAAATGTGGGTGATAGAGAAGAGGAAATCTGGGATACGTGTTTCAGCCAAAATGATAATCAGGATGAGGCCAAAGGATTTGCAGGAAAACATGGAATTCAGAAGTTTACTTTTTCAGGGTCTGAGGGCTGGTGCTACAGGTTCATGAAAAGGCAAGGCTTATCAATGTGGAATCAGTAATGCTCTTGACGGAACAGAAGACGACGCATTATTCGAAGAAGGTGATACTAGTGATGACGATATTCTCGTTTTTGCTGATGATGTGATAGTGAAAAGGATTTTTATGGTTTTAAAAGTGATTAAAGTCTAATTTCATGATAGGCAACCTTTTCCTTGAATCTGTGTTTTTTGTTGTTTCTGCTTTATTTTGTATTATGTTTGATTGCTTGCCGTCTATACATTTATTCATTATTGAAATTGCATATCATGTTCAAAATAGCTTGTCGTTTGTTAATTTTCCTTAATAAAAAATATGTTTGGTAATTGCATTTAATGATTGTTTATTTGGCTTTTACGAAACATGAGAACTAAAAGAAATCACATTTTAAGTTATTGTGGTATCGCGCTGTTGCACTGACTATTGAAACTTTTTTTCCTTGTGTGTGGCGTTCTAAATAAGGGTGCATCTTATATGCCGTCAAATACGGTAAACCCTAGATAGGGACGCTTATGTCGCGACATAAAGCAGAGTATAACTAAATGAGAATAAATCATTATTAGATAATCAAATGAGATTTTAAGGTAAATTATCAAGGGGAATAGAGAAAACAATCCCAGTTTACATATTTAAATGTATAAGGCCTGCTTTCAGTCATTTTCTTTTGTCTCTATCTTGGTAATTATAATCCAGCTGTGGGATAGAGCTGTTATTTTATTTATGAATATTCCTGAAAAATTTTCTTGCAATTTTAGCAACGCAGATGTTGATTTTTTCTACATTGAGTTCATGATGAATTGCATCCTTCCTAATGAACCAGGGGCAATTTGCCATCTGTCTCAAAGTCATATTTTGCACTTGTTGAATTTTTTTCATAGTTGTGTTACAAAGGATACCCCAGACCAGACAGGCATAAGTGATGATGGGACGCAAAATGGATTGGAATACAAGAACTTTATTTTGAATAGACAAACTCAAGTTTCGGGCTGAGTAAAGCAAGGGGGTTGAGTAAAGCTTTAACTCCCCGAAACTTGTTTAAAATATATGTAAAGTGTGGGGTCTATGTGAGTCTTTGGTCTAAAATGACACCAAGGTATTTAATTTGCTTGGCCCAGGGAATACTGATACCATACATTTTGAGGGTGATATCCAGATCCAGGTTGGCTTTGTAGGTGAAGTAAACAGCTTCTGATTTCTATACATTTTAATTTTCCATTTTATCATCCAGGACTCTAGTGCATGGATGTGTTCTTGTAATGTTTGTACAACTGCGGCCATAGACGTGTTTTGGTGGAGGATCGCAGTATCGTCTGCTTAAAGTGCTAGTGTAGTGAGGGGTTTGTGTGGGATGTCGTTCGTATAAATTGAAAATAAAGTGGGTGAAAGTAAGCTTCCCTGTGGCAAGCCAGCAAGGGTTGCTTTATGTGTAGAGTGGGTATTGTTATAATGAACAACAAAGTGTCTATCATAAAGGTAGGAATTGATGATGTTTATGTTGTAATCTGGGAAACCCAGAGTGATTGGTTTGTAAGTGAGGCCCTGTAACCATACAAAATCAAAAGCTTTTGATATATGGAGGAAGAGAGCTCCAATGATTAGTTTTTTCTGAAATCCATCAGCGATCAACTCCGTAACTCTGTATAGCTGATGTGTGGTGGAGTGTTTCCATCTAAATCCATACTGCTCTTGAATTAAGATGTTATTTTCCTGCAGAAAATCATGAATTCTTGCCAGGATAACAGCCTCTGCAATCTTGCTTAAAGTCGATAGAGACTTATTGGTCTGTAGGAGGCAATGCAGGTTGGATCTTTACCCAGCTTCAATATCGGCGTGATAATAGCTGTCTTCCAATTGGTCGGGAAGTGCTGTATTTTGATAAAAATATTGATGATTTTCGTGAACTTGCTGAGCATCTTAGGTCCCATTTCTTTTATCATTTTATTGCTTATTTTATCCAATCCTGGACTTTTACGATTTTTTCTCTTCTCGATGTAACTGCTAACTTCTGAAGGCATAATTAAGGGTGTGCTGTTTGTGTGTGTTCTTGATTGGAATTGTGTGTTGAGGGAAGAAACTAAGTGTTCTGTTTGTGGGAGAGAGATGTTGTGTGTGCGAAGTTAAGAAACATAGTTTTCTGCAATAGACTCAGCTTTTTCAAAATCAGTGTATGCAATCCCGTTGGGGCCGTTAATGGGTGGAATATTGGTGTTGTGTCTCTTAAATTTAGAAAACGCATTCCAGATCGAATTATCATCCGCTGAAAGTGATTCTAAATGTCTGGCCCAGTCGAGTTGTGCATGTTTTTTTAATAGAGTCATGACTTGTTGATTTAGCTGGTTCAGTAATTTTTTATCAGAAGGATATTTTTTATTTTTGCCACTGTTTGCGTGCGTGATTCCTTCTTCTAATTAGTTCTCTTATGTCACTGTTTTGATACCTCTTATCCTCTCTTGCAATCTTGCTGTTTTTGAGTAATGCAACATGCAGCTCTTCAGTGAATTCTTCTGTAAGGGCGTCTAACTCATCTCTCGTTTGTACTATGTGTGTTGGGTACTGAATGTTGTTTAGAGCTTTGGCATAACCTGCCCAGTTTGTAAAAAGGGTTCTTTTGTGTGGTGTACTGTAGGTATTGGTATTGACTTCCATTATCACAGGATTGTGATCAGATGACATTTCAGTCGTGCTTTCTATATAACTCGGTGAGTTAATATTTTATAAAATGAAAAAGTCAATGACGGATGGTCTACCAATCTCACAGTATGTTGGTTTCTCTGGAAATGCTAGGTTAATATTGGCCGCTTGGGCAAAGTGACTAATAATGCGTCTGTGTTGATTAATATCCCAACAATTCCACTCGCAGGGATGCGCGTTGAAATCTCCACCTATAATGACTCGATTGTTAATATTTAATAGCATTTGCAAATGTCTTGACAGAATTTGCAGGTGTGTGTGTATAGCAAAATAGGTGGAGATAACAGTGATTGGTCGTGATGTGTTTGGTGTGAGTGCAATAGCTAGAGCTTCAATTTCTAAAAGCTGTGGTATGGAGTGACATAATGAGAAATGGAGCGCC